AAGATCATTGAGCAATAATTCACATACCATGCACTTTACCCATTAAAAGTGTACAATTCACAAAGCCATGCATTCATCATCATAATCAGTTTTTGAATATTTTCATTACATCTAAAGAAATCCTGCATCCCTTAGCCATCACCCCCTAATCCCTCCACTTCTTCCTTTCTGCCCATTCCTGGGCAACCACTAATGTATTTTTTGTATCTATAGATTTGCCAATTCTGGACATTTCATATATATGGAATCATACAGTGTGTGGTCCTTTGTTACTGGTTTCTTTCACTTCCCTTGTTGTTTCCAAGGTTCTTCTATGTTGTAGCATATAATTGTTCTTCATTTATTTTTATTGTCAAATAATAGTCCATTGTCTGAATACACCATATTTTGTTTATCTATTTACCCGTCAGTGGATACTGGGTTGCTTCCATCTTTTGGTTATTATAAATAATGCCGCTATGAACATTGGCGTACAAATATCTGTGTGAGTCTCTGCTTTCAAGTCTTTTGAATATACACCCAGAAGTGGAATTGTTGGATCATATAGGAATCCTGTCTAGTTTTTTGAGGATCTTCCATACTCCTTTCCACAGCAGCCGAACCATTTTACACTCCCACTCGCAGTGCAGGAGGGTTCCAATCTATCCATATCTTCACCAACATTTGTTATCCTTCTTCTTGATTATAGCCACCCTAGTGTGCATGAAGTGGCACCTAGGGTTTTGAGTTGCATTTCCTTAATGGCTAATGCTGTACAGCATCTTTTCATGTGCCTGTTGGCCATTTGCATACCTTCTTTGGAAAAATGTGTACTCAGATCCTTTGCCCATTTTTTCATTTGGATTTATTGTCTTTTTTTTTATTGAGTCTCTTTCGATTCTACTCATACGCAGATGTGAATTCTCTGTAAATCTGATGAAGTTTAAGCTTCAGAGTCTCTCATTTGCAATAAGCCCTTCTAAGACCCTCAGCAGGCTCTAGTAACGTGCTCATATGAACACATATTTTTATAAAACTTGGGGGAAAATGCTCTTAAACAATAATTGCTAAGAATGCTGTCCTTTTCTACTCTGATTTCCCCTCGGATTCATTTCCCTTCATGTTGATAGGTGTTGGGGTGGCCACAGACGGAAAATGCTCTTAAACAATAATTGCTAAGAATGCTGTCCTTTTCTACTCTGATTTCCCCTCAGATTCATTTCCCTTCATGTTGATAGGTGTTGGGGTGGCCACAGACATTTTGTACTTATGTTTGTTTTTTTCTTTAAAGAGAGCCCCACAAAACCTGGATCTGCCTCTCCTCATGTAATAAATTCTAACCCTACTCTCCTGAGAGCCTTCTCTTTTGATTCTCCATGCCTAGTTTGAAAGTAGAAACAACATTCTCTTCCTCACTTTTGGCAAATTTCTGCCCTGGGGAAGTATAATTCTCCTTCAGGTATATGATAGCGTCTGACTGTCTAAGAGAGGATTCGTAAACAACATTCTAGAATGTTCTCATTTGATTTCTCCTCTCCTTTCAGCTCCTGTCATCACCACTCCTCTTGAAACAGTGGACGCTTTAGTTGAAGAAGTGGCTACTTTCATGTGTGCAGTGGAATCCTATCCCCAGCCTGAGATTTCCTGGACAAGAAACAAAATTCTCATTAAGTAAGTATTCTGCCTTTTTCTGGTAGGAATGTCCACTGTTGCCTTGCAGTTTATCTCTGACATAAATGCAACCGTAGCTCTTGGCAGTACTAAGGTTCACCTTCTAGAACATGTAAAATGCAAATTTACTCATTTTGTAAATGTAAGATCTGAATTTCAGTGAGCTTAAGAGAATTTCCCAAAGCAAAAGAGTGATTTAATTGACATGGGGAGGGAGGGCTATTTCACAGCTTATTGATATGGGGACATCAGGGAAGCCCCCAGATTAAACCCTTGAAGGGTGTTCACAGTAATTAGGGAACTCCCTGATATCCTAAGTCTGGGGAGATGTGTTCCAGAACACGCTGGGGAGTTAATAAGGACCAGCCTCATCTCTTGTATTTCTAATATCATATGAAAGTAAAGTATGTTGTCTAAGAATCTGACCTTTTCTTTTCAAAGTTAGAAGGGACTCCTGTTATATAGTTATACAGTTAGGCAGCCGCTCATACAGTTGAAATTCCCATTTGGCAGATAAAAGTTATGCTATCCTTTCCTCATTACAATAGTTATAATTGATTAAAAATACTCTAAAAAAATCTGTAACAAAGTGAACTATAGGCTTTCTAGCTTGTGTTAGGGCTGAGTGCTGTCTTAATCCATTTGGGCTGCTATAACAAAAACACATAGACCGGGTGAGTTATGAACGACAATAACTTATTTCTCCCAGTTTAGGAGGCTGGTAAGTTTAGGTTCAAGGTGCCAGCAGATTTGATGTCTGGCAAGGGTCTACTTTGTGGTGCATGGATGATAGTCTTTTTGCTGTGTCCTCACATGGTGGGTAGGGATGAAGGAGCTCTCCTGGCTCACTTTATAAGGACACCAACTGCACTCATGAAAGCTCCACCCTTATGACCTAATCACTTCCCAAAGGCCCTGCTTCCTAATACCATCACATTGAAGATTAGGTTTCAACATATGAATCTGAGGGGGACATAAACATTCAGTGTCTAGCAAGTACTTAAACTGGTATCCATAGACTAGGGTCCATGAACTTGGATGGGGAAAAATGACATCTTTATTTTCACTAACGTGTAATGGAAATGTAGTGTTCTCTTCTATTATACATGTTGTAATATGGGAAATTCCCCTGTGCTGTGGTACTCTATCAAGAAGCTATCTCAGAAGTTCTGGAACAGGAAGGCTCACAGACCAAATTAAGATACTTGAAATAGTTTTTAGCGTCTTTTGCAATCTGGATAGGCTGAGAATTCCCCAAATATTTAAGTCCTGGTTTCTTTTTTGCTTAGCAGTTCTTCCCTCAAATTATCTTTTTCCTCTTGAACTTTTCTATAAGCAGCCAAAAGAAGCTGGGCCACAGCTTCAAAACTTTGCCTGGGAATTTCCTCAGCTAAATATCTGAGTCCATCATTTACAAGTTTTGTTTTCCATACAACTGCAAGACACCATTTAGCTAAGCCTATCTGCCACTATGTAGCAAGGATCCCCTTTCCTGTGTCGTCCAGGAATGTACTCCTCATTTCTATCTGAGCCCTCAAAAGCAGTGCTTTTAACATCCATATTTCTACAGTCTGTTCATGATAATTTAGATATTCTCAAAGATGACTTAGATTTTCTCTACCATATGCCTCACTTCCTTCTGAGTCCTCAGTAGCAGAATCATTAACATAAGTATTTCTACTGACAGTCTCTTCAAGGAAATCTGGGCTTTTTCAATCATGCTTCTCAAAATTCTTTCAGTTTTACCCATTCCCCAATTGCAAAGCCACATCCACACTTTCAGGTATTTGTTGCAGCAGCACCACACTTCCAGATATCAAAACCTGTATTTATTTTCTATTGATGCTGTAACAAGTTACCACAAACTTAGTAGCTTAACACAGCATAAAAGTATTATCTTATAGTTCTGGTGGTTGCAGTATGAAATAAATCTTGCTGAGCTAAAGTGAAAGTGTTGGCAGGTCTGAGTTCCTTCTGGAGGCTCTAGAGGAGAGTCTGATTTCTTGTCTTTTCCAGCTTTTAGAGGCCACTTGCATTCCTGGGCCGCTTCCTCCATTTACAGAGCTAGCAATTCCATCACCCTGACCTCTGCCACTGTCGTCATACCTCCTCTGACTCTTCTCCCTCCTCTGACTCTTCCCCCTCCCTCTTTCATCATTTAAGGACTCTTATGACATTGGGCTCATCTGAATAATCCAGAATACTCTATTTTAAGTTTCTTAACATCTGCAAAATCCCTCCTGCCGTGTAAGGTAACATATTCTCTTATCCTGCTTACCGCACATATTTGGCATAAAGAACCCTTATTTATTATTATTTTTTTTAATAGTAACTAAATAGCAGCTAAAGATGAAGAAGCACATTTCAAAAACCCAGCAATCCCACTCCCAGACTCTTATCCTGCTTACCGCACATATTTGGCATAAAGAACCCTTATTTATTATTATTTTTTTTTAATAGTAACTAAATAGCAGCTAAAGATGAAGAAGCACATTTCAAAAACCCAGCAATCCCACTCCCAGATGTATACTTTATGGAAATATGTACACAATTAGTCACTGCAACACTTTTTGCAAGTAGGAAACATTGGAAACCATCTAAATGTCTGTCGCCAGGAGCAATAATAAACTGAAGTTTATTCATACAACATAATACTACCTACAGCTTAGTTAAGATCTAAGAACTAGTGATACATTTATCTATCATCCAGTCCTCTATCTCTTAACCTCGCATTTAATTATTTCTCTCTTTTACCTTCTTTGATGAATTCAGATCTAGTTTCCTGTATTAGTTAGGGTTCTCCAGAGAAACAAGAATCAATAGGATATATAGTCATGCACTGCATAATGACATTTCAGTCAACAATGAAGTGTGTATACAATAATGATTCCATATGATTATAATGGCTATACCATATAGCCTAGGTGTGTAGTAGGCTATGCCATCTCGGTTTGTGTAAATGCACTCTATGATGTTCACACAATGGTGAACATTTCTAACGATGCATTTCTCCGAACATATGCTGTTGTAAGGCAATGCATGACTCAATCTCTCTCTCATACATTATATATAAAATACAAAAGTGCTTTAAAACGTTCATATTTTTCCATGCACTTTCTGAAGTACCCACATATTATATATATTATATACTATATATAATATCTATTGTGTTTTATATTGGAACATAATTGATCATACATATCTGTGGGGTACAGCATTGACTATCAATACCTGTGTGCAATATATATGATGCTTAAATCAGGATAATTAGTATATTCAACATTACATGATGTAATTGTGTTTTGTGGCTCTTCACCAATTTATGCTAACCCCCATCCCCTACCCCTTTCCCACCTCTGGTGATCTCAGTTCTGTTCTCTCCTTTTGAAAGTTCAAGGAGTTATTGTGATTGTTGTGTCTTTCTTTTTTATTTTATTTATTTGTTTCTTTTAATCTCACTTATGAATGAGAAAATTCAGTATTTCTCTTTCTGTGCCTGTCTTATTTCACTTAACATAATTTTTTCTAAGTTCATCCATGTTGCTGTGAATGAGAGAATTTCATTCTTCCTCATGGCAGAGTAATATTCCATTGTTTGTATATACCACATTTCCTTATCCAGTCATCTGATGATGAACATTTAGGTTGGTTCTAACTCTTGACTATTGTAAACAGAGCTGCAATAGACATGGGAGTGTAGGTATCCCTTTGACAAGATGACTTCCATTCCTTTGGGTATATACCCAGCAGTGGGATTGCTGGATCATATGGCAGTTCTATCTGTACTTGTTTGAGGAATCTCCATATTGTTTTCCCTAATGGCTGCACCAATTTACAATCCCACCAACAGTGTGAGAGGGTTCCCCTTTCTCCACATCTTTGCCGGCATTCATTATTCTCTGTCATTTTGATAATGGCCAGTGTAACTGGGGTGAGATGGTATCTCAGTGTGGTTTTGTTTTGCATTTCCCTGATGCTTAGTGATGTTGAGCATTTTTTTTCATGCATTTTTGGTCATTTGTACATCTTCCTTTGAGAAATGCCAATTTAGCTCCTTTGCAAGAAGCTTTTTTGCAAATAAGGATTTGGTAAAAGAAAAAATAAACTCATATTTATGTTGATGCTTCCCCTCAAATTTCTTTCCGTTGCCCTAATTCCCTTCTCAATGAACAATTTGCATGTAATTAAATAGATGATACATGTAAAGTGTAAAGTTTTAGAGGTCGAAGATGTTTTGCTTCCTTTTGTATCCTGAGTAACTAGGACTGGGCCTGGCACTTCTTAGGCACTCAATAAACATTTGTTTAATGAAAGAATAAATATTAAATTACTAGTTAGTTACTTTTATAAATGTTTATCACATCTATATGTGTCATGTTCATTATCTGGTTGCTTTTCCCAGTAATAATGGGGAGAAGACTCATCTATCTTGATTATGATATACTTTCCTGAATACTGTAAACTTTACAGTTGGTCTTATCAGTTGACATTACCCTTTGAAAGCATTTTTGAAGCACTCAGTGATGCTTTGATTATTGGAGCGTAGGAAAGACTGGAATATAATATAAGCTTTATATTACCAAGTAAGATTATTCTATTATTCAGAACTCACTCAAGCTTCTTCTCACCTTTATTCTGCTTCCTCATTGACAAGTCAGCAGTTTGATCAGTTAATCATAGCTGAAAAAGCACAGATGACTCATTAATTTGCCATTTTCCTCTGTGACCTGCAGGCTCTTTGACACCAGGTACAGCATCCGGGAGAATGGGCAGCTCCTCACCATCCTGAGCGTGGAGGACAGTGATGATGGCATCTACTGCTGCATAGCCAACAACGGCGTGGGAGGAGCTGCTGAGAGCTGTGGAGCTCTGCAAGTAAAGATGAGTGAGTGCAGAAGGGAATCACCTACTGAGTTCAAGTTGGCTTGGTACACTTTGAAACAGCCTGTAAATAGAGCCTCCCTCATACCTTGAGGTTCAGCAGCAAATCAAGTTCAAGTTCAAAACACAACCTTGAGGCCAGTTAATTCCACACCTCTTATTCCTGTCATCAACCACCACCCTAAAGCATGCCTCGGAGTTCTCTATCCTCTCCCATTTTCTTGCCTTCACACAGTTCTTTATTTTTTCCACTCTGGCTCCTTTCACTGGAGAACCTCCTTCTGAATCCTTTACCTTGTGCCTTTGAAACATAATTTCCTTACACCAAACAGCCTTTTATCTCTAACCCCATTTTTAAAAAATTGATTATGCATATTCATGGGATACGAAGCTGACCATCACCACCTGTGCCCAAAACGTGATGGTCAGATCAACACTATCAGCATGCCCATTACCACAAATTGTGATTATTCCTCATGTCCCCCACCCAATTAATCCGTGATTTCCCTCCTCCTCCCCTTACCCTGGCCCCCAGCAGCCCTTAGTATGCTCTCTCCATCTGCAAGTCTGATGCACCACTGTGGTCTTTCTTTCCCTCCTTCTTTCTCTCTTATCTCCCACTTAGTGAGGACATGTGGTATTTTTCCCTCTGTGCCTAGTTTATTGCACTTAACATAATTTTCTCCAAGCTCATCCATGTTGTTGCAAATGGCAGAATCTTATTCTTTTTTATGGCAGAGTAGTATTCCATAGTGTATATATACCATATTTTTCTTATCTGATCATCCATCCATGGACATTTAGGTTGCTTCTATATCTTGGCTATTGTAAATAGAGCTGCTAACATCTTTGCAGACACTTCTACTCTTTTGCATTCTTTCAATTGATTTTCTTTTTTTTTAATTATTATTAATTTTTTTCAAAATACCTTAACATGTAATTGTATATATTTGTGGGGTATAGTATATTGTTTCAGTACATTCATATAAAAGTTGATTTTCTTATAAGTGAATTCCCGCTTAGGTGGAAGCTGTTCAGTTTTCCCCACCTCATGGCTGCAAGGCTAGCAAGTACTGATGGTTAATCTCTGAGCCCTCATTGCTGCTTTTAAGCCATTATGTTTTGTATTTCTGTGCAAAACCTTTCCTCTCATGAAGGCTTATGCCACCGTGACCCTTCTCTTCTATAACTATGTTCGTTGTGTCATCTACTCACTTTTAGGCATTTCCTTTTATTTATCAAAGACATTGATTCCAGACTCATCATCTGTCTATCCACCCCTACTCCTGCCATCATCCTAAGGGATTTTAACAGTCATAAAATAGAACCACTAGCCACTTCATCCTCACAGTTCCTTCACCTCTACTAATCCAGTGACATTTTTCTTAACTCTTTATCAGCCTATCCAGTCAGTGACCCACACTTGGCCTTGTTACTCCTTGTACAACAGTTTGTATTTAAAATCTTAAGCTCCTGTATATCACTCCCTGACCATAGATACTTCTTTGTCCAGCTTTGTCAGATGAGAAAAACAGTTGCCCAAGTACAAGGATTACTTGTCTCCAAGTAGAAGACACAAACTCCCACTGTCACTTTCTCAGTTAACAAGTGTCTAAGTGTCTCTTCTTATTCTCTCCATCCTGCTACACACGATCACCAACATAACCATGTTCTGCTGCCCTTCATTCCTCTCTGTTCTACTTTCCATTAACTCCTGATCAGGATTCTATTTCCTTCCATGCTTAGTTCTCTCTCCTACCTGCTGGTGTATTATCACTTTCTTACCAGCATCCTCAGATCTCATGACCTCTTGCACTGCACGCACCTGCTGCTTGCAAACTGTCAACCTTGCAATGATGTAACCTTTATTTTCTCTTCTCTAACACCACACTACTGAAGGGGAAAATCATGTAAACCTACATATTGGCTCTGTACAAATTAGTGGAATCTAGCTCTACCTGAGACCTTTATTTATTAGGTTTTTGTGTTGTTTTTCATCACTGTTTCTTATCTTCTTGTTTTGCTGGAAGAAATCATTGGGTACTTTTTTCAGTGTGTTTTCTGAATCTTTGCATGGCTGAAGGTCTTTACTTTGCTCTCCCCTTTGAATAGTAATATTGCTGGTATAGAATCAGAGTTTAAACATTCTTTTCCCTTAGCTTTTAGTAGACAGTTATTCATTATCATATTATGTAACCTATGTTGCAGATGAGTCTTTATCTTATTTCTTTAGAGGTAAATCACATCTTCTTAAAAATTCTAGGATGTTTCTGTTTATTTCTATAGTTCACAGATTTTACTAATTAACAAGAAAATGTTAGATGTTTGTTTTCTTTTTTATTTCTACTCAGTTTTAGGTAAGCCTTTTGATCTAAAGGCCAGTTTTTTCCAAAATGGGGTACATTTTATTCCTATCATTTCTCTGTGTCTTCATTCTCTCTGTGCTTATTTTTGAACTCTTAACAAATATCAGGTCTCCTTTTTCAATTGTTCATGAGTCCAGATTTTTTCCCTCATACTTTCTACATCTCTTGATATTCTCCCTTCTTGGAGATTTCTTTAACTTTTTCTTCCATATCACAAATTTTGTCTTCATGATGACCATACTGTTATTCTGCCTTTCTATTGCGTATTTTGATCTTAAAAACAATATTTTTAATTTCTAAAAATCGCTTTTCCTCTGATTTCTCTTTTGTTCAAAACAAACTCCACTTCTTGTGTGACACAATATTCATTCAAGCTTTTCTAAGGATATCACTAATGCATTTTTTAAATTTTCTTTTTTTCCTTGCTTTATTTTTATTTCCTGCAGGATAAATTTGATTTTATGTTAGATCATTGATTTTATGTGTTTTTTTCCCCTCAGATGTCTGTTAATCTGTTATATTAGGTTATGAACACAATGGAGTCATAGATTAATTAGAATAGGAAGCTAGTGAGTGAAGTGGGACTTTGCAGGAGGGCTGATTTGGTACTCACTGTGAGTAAGTAGGTGGGAATGTACCCACAAGCAGACTTTTTTCAGCACATGGAGCAACAAAAGAATCAAGTAAAGTAGCTGGGATAGTCTCATTTGCTAAATGATGAAGACTTGATACTGAGGACGAAGCACCTTTAAGTATTTCCTTGCTTTGTAGCACTACCTCTCTTTTGAATGCCTCTAGTATTCTCTCTGGCATGAATATTCTTGATCTTGATTCTATATTAAATCATCTTTCCTTCTGTTTTTTCCACCCTCTCCTTAGGAGACCTCACCCATCCATGTGGGTATACACTAGTGTGGCCATCCCAATTGTGAATTTTTTGGAATGCTTTCACTCTGCTTGGAAAGAGCTGCTTCATGAGACCCCCAAGATCCCCCACCGCCATCACTACTCTAGCTATCCTAGGCCCTTCCCTGGGAACCTATCCCCCTCAACTTTCTTATGGTTCATCAACTAAGGGCTCAGTGCTGGCACAGCAGGACACTTCCAGCTCCTGTTTCAAAATGACCAGTTCTGATTGTACAGTACTCATGATTCTACCATGAATCATGTTCCCTTAGTGGGGTTTCATGACTCCACATCAATATTCTGCTCATTCCTACTCTATTGTATATTCAATTTCCTACAAGGATTCTCTTTACCCCTTAGCTAACAGATGACCAAGACATCTATTTCACTGAGAAGATAGGAATCATTTGCTTTAAACAAAGGTCTTCCACCTAAGATATTATCTGTGACTCAGGTTTACCATAGGGATCTTGCTCAGGGAACTCAATATAAGGGATAGATAACACTCTCTTCGATCGTCACAAAAATATCAACTCCTAAATTAAGCTTTTGACAGAAGTTGTATGACAACGCAACCCAACCTAGGAGCCTGGCCAGTATCTAAACCATTGTTGATTAGATAGAAGGCAAAGTGACAAAGCTGATATTCTCCTATAACATGTTTTAGAGCTGGTCTTGTATTTTTGCCAGAATGCAGGACTGTACCAACTTTAAATCTAGGCAATAAGTGTCTAGATTAAAAACCAATAGGCCATGTAGTCTTTGCAAATGTCACTTACAACCACCACCAACCTCTTCCCCACACTCCTCCCACACACAAAGTAGAAGAAAAAATAAGTCCTTATTTCATGCTGTCTTCTGCTGAAGTAACAATTGGTTATGACACATGACCTGAAAGAAATAAAATGCATCCATTTCTAAGTAGTCTCTCCTGCAAAGACAGTCCTCAGTTCTGTATCTGTAACATAAGATCACTAAGGACACACATGTAGTTTTAATAATTTTATGAACATTTCAAGTACTAGAATAACTGGCACCTCAAACGTCAATTCTTCTATATATTAGATTTAATAACTTCTTCCTTCAAAAGCTTCATATTGGAGAATAAAAATTGGCTGACATAAACTATTTCTTCTGAAAGAGTAACTTAAAAGTGACAGAACAGTAAATTACACAAATTTGCTTTGCAGAATTGATTTCCTACAAATTGTATGGCAGAATTTCTTCTGATAACTAATATAACATATGGTTTACTTTCTAGAGGATAAATGAATTTTATTATTGAACGTCAAATTTAATAGTCAAGTTAAGATGGAAATTAAAGGGAAAGGTCATGATTCAAAAGTAAATAGAAATATCCTTATATCAAAAATTTCTTTTCAAATGTTTTCATGTCTATCAGTATGAATTAAATAATTTTGAATTGTTATGGTGATAGCTTATGTTAATCAACTTTCTATTAACTACCTTTTTAAGTGAAGAATGTTATGGTAACTTTACATTCCTAATATGTTTTATAAATTTATATTTTGTAAATAAGATTTTAATAAAACAAGGATAACCTGAACTTTTTAAATGAGTTTCTGTTTGAGATTCACTAAAAACTTAGCATTTAGTGAATTTTGTAATATTATATGCCTAAAATGATTCTTTAAATGAGTATTTACAATTAAATAGAAAGTTAGAAACTCTAAGTTTAATACAGTCATATTGCTTTTTTAGTTTTGAATTTTTATTTCCCTTTAGAACCTAAAATAACTCGTCCTCCCATTAACGTTAAAATAATAGAGGGATTAAAAGCAGTTCTACCATGTACTACAATGGGCAATCCCAAGCCATCAGTGTCCTGGATCAAGGGGGATAGCGCTCTGAGGGTAAGTATTATTGTGATAAAATATGTATATAAAACATGTTTTAAAATGCAACAATCCTTTGCATGCTCAGTTACATGCTTACAAACTTCTAGCATAAATTTTTTTTATATACATTTTAACCAAACTTAAATATTTCGATTCCCATAATTGCAAACTGCAAGGCATTCCAGTTGGGGCTGACTGGGGAAAAGAGGAGATGGGAACCAGAACTGCTGGGAGTGGAAAGAAGGCAAGCAAAAGCAAACCTGGAGCCTTCATTGTTTGTTGGTTGGTTGAATCATTTGGGGTTTTTTTAACACTGAGTTTTTGAGACTTGGGATAAAAATGATGACACTAAAATCCAGGCTTTACAACTGACAGTTTCTGGGAGGAGGAAGAGAAATGAGGTTTGGAAGAAAAGAAACAAGAACATCTGGAGAGAAGTTAGAGCAGGAAGGCTCCAGACTGGGAAACAAACACCTTGACAAATGCTTTCTCACTCAGAAGAGCAGTCAAATTAAAAGTTTATTCCTTATACGCTGATTTTTTACTGCCTCTGTATCTTTCCCCACATTTACTGATAAGTTATTATATAGCATAACCATTGTCTCTTTCCATCTTTGTATCCCCTGAAGGTGAGATGTCAAACTATGTTTTTCACCTGACTATGCCCAGCATATTCTGTGGGGAGTACAATGGCATTAATATATATCAATTAATTGAAATAAAATATGAAATTGATTGGCTTTGTTTTATTTAAAATAAAATAAATAATGCTAATTTTAACAGAAATCCTTGTAATTCTCTGGCTTTCCTTTTGTTATTAATCTTGGTGCATTTTCTACAATGAAAACAAGGGTGGCTCTATGTATCTTACTGAAGTTAGAGTCCAAAAAGAGAAGATAAATGTAATATTTTAACTTCAAAGAGCAACTTTTATATTAATTATGAAACTTTCCAGCTTTTCAAGGGACATGTATTCTCCTAAGGAGACCGTATAGAATGTGTCATAAATACGATAGATTTACAATACAATACAATAGATACAATGCATTTAATCAAACAGACTTGGGTGTGACTTTTAGGAAGTCAGGCAAGCTCTTATGTCCCTGCGTGATGAAAGGAAATAAAAATAAACTCTATCTCAAGGGATCATAGTGAAGGTTAATTAGGTAATAATGCACCATCTCATTTAATATTGTATGTTATATGTAGTAAATGCCCAGTAAAGATTAAAATAATATTTTTGATGATAACGGTGATGATGATGACTTGATGAAATATGGCAAATATATTCTCAATAGAGCTGTGGACATTTTCAAGTTCATATTCCTATCTCTGGCAGGAAAATTCCCGCATTGCAGTTCTTGAATCTGGGAGTTTAAGGATTCACAATGTGCAAAAGGACGATGCGGGACAATATCGATGTGTGGCAAAAAACAGCCTAGGGACAGCATATTCCAAATTGGTGAAGCTGGAAGTGGAAGGTAAGGAGCTGCATTCCTTTCCAGTAGAGTGTGATCAGAGGTCCTCGCGTTTTATGTGAAGGCTGTGCTTTAGCTTGAGGGAGAAGAGATGTAGGTAGTACAATTCCCTTAACTGTTTAAAACTTTAGACCCTAAAGTCGAGACTATGAGAATAGAAAAGAAAAGCTGAAAAACGAAAGAAATGTTTACTGGTATAAAAGGCTTTATTCTATCTATTCCCACAACCACTGGTAATTCAGACCAACAGACTAAATTCACTATGATATCAAAACAGTAGGACACCGTTTTGGAACTTCTGCCTGGTGGGGACAATTCTCTCTCATTTATAAATTTGGACACAATAATTCTATCTTTTTTAGGATATAGAATGACTTTTAAAAAGATACAAGGGAAAAGGTTATTTTTTTCAGATTTTATTCTGTCACAAAGGTTTGAGACAAATAAAATACTAACTCAAAGTATATTACCAAAAATGATCTTAGTTCTAGGAGTTATGTTGTCAAAATATTTTTAAAATTTTTCTTTAAAAAATCAACTAATTCAACAACTCAGTGTGAAAGGTCTTCACTGAGAAATCAGAATCCAAACAGGTCTATTTGATGTGACATATTTATTGAAAACTAAAATTGCATCGCATTTTGCATGAAAATAGGCATGACCAGCACAGTCGTAAACTGAGCACAAGACCTTTCCCAGCTCCTCTTGTTATAGGCCATACAATCAACACCTCTGGTTCTTAGTGTTCCCATCTGTACAGTGGGGTTTGTTGTATTTAATGAAGTAAGGTGTTGATAGTGTTTAGCAGAGTGTCTGGTACTTTGTACACACCCAATAAATGTTGGCTGTAAGAATTATCACCTATTTTTTCTGCTTTCTCTTATCTGGTTGATAGTGTTGGGCTATCGCATACTGGCACAAATTGTAGTACAAGCAGAAAAGGCTGCAAGGTTTCCCCACATCTTACTTTGATCCCCTCCTACTTTCCTTAAGCCAGAATCTATCCTTTTCTGCACCTTTTCCTTTTCACTCATGCAGTTTTCTATTAGCTCTTTTAAGATTATTTTTATTTCTTAGATGGACCTTCCTCTCACAGCTTTAATGATCTCATTTCCCACGCTTGTCCCTAACTGAAGTAGTATTTTTATTATGTCATTGCATTGATCATTCATAAAATTTCCACTAACTCATCATGGTAAAGAATGAGGTTGGTGGGAATAGTGGCTGTCAAAATATAAAGATATATTCGTATTTTCAGCATAGTTGCTATAATTTAATATCTTCTAAATCATTGGTGCTACTTAAGGCTCTGTATGCAACAACCAGTTGATGTGACTTATTCAGTGAAAACTACATACACATACAAGCACACTCAGACACGCATTTAGACACATTTTCTACCCAGATTCAGTGTTTCCTTGAGCTATCTGAGGAATGATGCAGAATTATGCTATCCATTTGTATAAAATACCACAAGGAGTTTTCTTCTTCAAGATATTAAATTACAAGCCCTTTATAATTATAATACTGATCATTTAGGTCACTATGTTCATAGGTATTAAAACAAATTGTTTCAGGGCCGAGCCCGTGGCGCACTCGGGAGAGTGCAGCACTGGGAGAGCAGCAGCGCTCCTGCCGCGGGTTCGGATCCTATATAGGGATGACCGGTGCGCTCACAGCACTCACTGGCTGAGCGCGGTGCGGCCGGTCTCAAAAAGGACAAAAAAAAAAAAAAACCCAAATTGTTTCAGCTTTGGCCTAGAGAAAATGATCAGACACTCAATTAGTTGGCGTCCAATTACACAGTTTGGTCTTGCCTTGCCCTTTAATTTTATATGATGCCTATCAGTACAACTGACTTCTGCCTTCTCTCTTCCTAACATTTGAATGCTCATCTTCATGGCTTTAACAGTTAATATATGCTAGAGAGTTTATTAAACTTGCCAGTTCTGAGAGCCCATAATATCATTTAAAGTCACTCTAACAGTAAATAAGATGATCACTTTACTGCACATGTCCATTTCTACCCCCATCTAATTTCTATTTTAAAAGCCAAACTATGTGACATGCTTAGCATAGTTGCTGGTCCGTAATAAGTAGTTAACAAACAGTGTCTAACATAATTATTATTACAATTAACAAATAAAAATTGCGGCACACACACACACACAAAAATTAAAAAAACCGGGGGGGGGGGGAAGAAGATATAACAACTACAATTACTTGAAATTGATACAACAAGCAAACAGAAAGGACATTGTTGGGTGGGAGGGAGGAAAGGGAGGAAGGAGGGAGGTTTTGGTAAGGGGCAACAATAATCAACCACAATGTATATTGACAAAATAAAATTTTTAAAAAATAAATAAATAAAAATAAATTAAAAAATAAAAATTGCAGCAAATCTGTTTAGGCTTTGGGAGCTCTGAAGGGTTAGATTCCACTTGAATAAACAGTTGGGGTATTTCCACAAGATGTATTGCAGACATGACCTATTTAAAGGAAGGGCCAACTCAACCTACCTCTCAGAACAGGTGAGAAAGCAAATACCACATGTTCTCATATGTGGGAGCTAAGAAAAGTGAGCTCGTAGAATTGTAGTTACCAGAGGATAGGAAAGGTAACAAGGAGAGAGTATAGGGAGAGGTTAACAGATGCAGAATTACATCTAGACAGGAAGAATAAGTTCTAATATTCAGTAGTAGTTCTAGCTGTCTATAATTAACAATAATTTATAGCATATTTTCAAATGGCTAGAATAAAGGAGTTCAAATGTTCTCATCACAAAGAAATGATAAATGTTTGTGTTTGTGGGCTAATTAGCCTGATTTGATCATCACACAGTATATACATGTATGGGAATATTACTCCATATCCCATAAATATATACAGTTATTATATGTCAATTAAAAATAAAATTTAAAAAAGGTTCAAACAGTGACATATAGAATTACTGCTGGGACTGTATATCTCATGCATGGTCCAGCATGGGTGTCTTTCTTAAAAGATGAGCAATGGGATGGCCCACATTTTAAAATCTACCATTGATGCTAAATGCTTTACATAGATTATCTTGTTTCATCCTCACTAGGGGTTTGTGAGGAAGGTCGTGTATTGTGTCATTTTAGGAAAGCGAGGAACAGAGAGGACAGCTAACTTACACAAAGCTGCACAGATAGCAATGTCTACTGAGAAATGTGAAATATTGTCTGTTCGATTAGAGAGCAAGATAGTCCTGCGTGATATAGTCTAGAGCATCAGAATAGAAGTGAGGGAAGAAGCCAGAATTCTGTAAATGAAGGAGAAAGTGGGACTTTAAAGAAAAGAGATAGTGGGTGTAGACAGGTTTTTCAGTAATTTTGACAGAGAAAGGGAAGGAGTCAAAAATGGTGCAGTAGCTGAGGTATACACAGCATGTAGGTAGTGTTGTTTTGTGAGATTTCTCCTAAAAAGACTAAAATATTAAAAAATATTGAAAAAAAATTAATGAGAAAAAGCCCTCATGGAAGGAAAATTTAAACATACAGAAGAGAGGGGAAATATTCTAGGAATGTGGTGCTTGAGAGTGCTCGAGGGGTGCATTCAGGGGCCAAGTGAAACAATACACTTTACACCGAGGATGACCACAGGGCCTGGTTTTCCCAGGATGGTTCTGGTTTACACCTGTTGTCCTGGAGTCATTATTAATAGAGTCCTTCTTTTACTTTCCAAAGTATCCAGGCTTCCCTGATAAATTATAGTCATGCTCCTTAGACAGGAGGAGAAAATTTCCTTCCCGGTCATAGGAAGAAAGGAGAAAAGGGGCATTTTCCAGTATAAATCAGTTCATAAATTTGGTGGATGGAATTTGAGAAAGTTCTGTTCTCATGATCTCTGTTTCCTCTAGGATGTAGAAAGTAAAGTTATCTTTTGAAAATACTATTGTAAGGGGGCTGAGGGAGGAGGTGGGGATGAGAGGAGTGGAAAGGTTTTTAAAATAGCTGTGGGATGGAAGCGATGACTCACAGGAAAACGGGCAAGTTAAGGTTTTAGTAGAGGACAGGACCGCGAATATGGAGCGGCATCAGTCTGCATGGTTGCAGGGGGTTTTCCCCCCAGTGTGGCTCTGCTGTACAGGTAGATGTCCAGAAAAAGTAGAAAAGTAAATTCAACGTCAAGGCATAAGTGTTGAAGTTTTTCCAGGAAGGAAAATAGAGCAAAGGCTTTGAACATATTGCAAGAGAGTGATTGAAGCAATAAATCACGGACTCATTATGTACCAAATACACCTAGGATTTAATATTCAAATACCAAATATCCTAGGATTTAAACCTAGGATTAAGTATTATAGCTCCAGCAATAGGACAGACAAGAAAATATGAGTCTTCCTACCACAAACACCCAGATATTCAGGGTTAGTCATATAACATAAAAATAAAATGAATAGTATTCCATGGTGTATATATACCACACTTTCCTCACCCAATCATCTATCGATGGACATTTAAGTTGGTCCTGTATCTTGGCTATTGTAAACAGAGCTGCAATGAACATGGGAGTGCAGGTGTCCCTTCGACACGATGATTTCCATTCCCCTGGGCATATACCCAGAAGAGGGCTGCCATAAAAAAGAATGAAATACTCCCATTTGCAACAACATGGATGAACCTTGAGAAACTTACATTGAGTGAAATAAGCAAAACATAAAGAGATAAATACCTCATGTGCTCACTCATATATGGGAGATAAGAGAGAAAAGAAGGAAGGAAAGAAAGGCCACAGTGGTGCAGTGGTCTTACAGAGGGAGGGAACATTCCTAGGGCTGCAAACCGGAGTGGGGAGGAGGTTGGGGGACAATTGGGTGGGGACACAGGGTATAAAAGCAATTTCTGGTAATTTGTATTTCATGAATATTCATAATAATAAAAAATAAATAAAATAAAAATAAAAATGAATACAAGAGCCAGAAATGAATAAGAATTAGGGGGAGGAAAGGGGAGTAAGGGAGGAATTGGTAAAGGGCTATG